ATATCAGCTGTCCCTAACGGCTGGACTGACATTAATAATAAATGTGGCAGCCATGTTTGTAGTCCACAGGGTCATCTTTTAATACCCTGACAGAATGACTTATCGGTGTTATTTATTCATGGCTGTTTAAATGAACTTAGTTTTCTCACTATATTTTTACCTTTAAACAAGCATCACCTTACACCTTCAGGGTGTTCAGCCAATCACAGGATTCTGTCTGTATTAATGAGGTCATTAAAGCTATGAAGGTTTTAGTTTAGTTTAACAGACTGTTTCTGCTGTTAGAGAACCTCTGAGGAAAGAAGAGATTGGGACCAACACAGGACAACAGCAACAACAGTAAGTCACGTCAGTTTCTATTGCCTGAGAACAAAACACTGCAATAATAGAGTCTGGTTGATTTAGGGTCTCTGTAGCTACCAAAGACAGAAACAGCTGAATTTTAGTTATGTTACAGTACCAGTACTGGTCCTGCAGAACGGCCCATGTCCCAGTAACGTCTCTGATACTGGATCATAGTGACTAATTACTGTGTCCATCACTTTAATGCTGCAGCTGGTAAAGGTGGAGCTGATGGTAACTACCTTATATACTTATACTGGGAAGTACTTTCCATCCTGCTGGGTAGCTGGTGGATTTCCTACTGGGATCAATAGAGTCTGATGGTTCTACTGGGTTTGGTTTGATTCATCTGGTTCTGGACCTGAAGTTATCAGGTACATGTAGTGTAGTAAAAAGTACACGGTTTGTCCCTGACATGTAGTATGAAGTAGCAGGACATACTCATACAGGAAATACTCAAGTAAAGTACAGATACGTACGTCAGAATTGTACATATGTACAGTACTTGAGTAAATGTGCTTACTTACTTTTCACAACTGTGTGTAACAGAGTGTGGGACATGTTAAGAGGATGATGAAGATGATGAGGATGTCGTCTTGTCAGATTAGAGTTTCAGGTCTAATGAGTTTGTCTCTGTGGGAACTGATGTTCTCAGACAGGAAGTGATTAACTGGGTAAATCCAGCAGAACAAACTAAACAA